GCCACGAAGAATTGAGGCAGTTCTGAAGGCAAAAGGGGGTCCAACCCGTTACTAGCGTGGTGTACCTAATAAAGTGGCCGGTGAGTGTATATTGACAATGCATTTATAACTATCAACATAAACAATGAAATTTGAACAAGTACCTAATATCAACAGTGTGGTGAATTTGCGCTTCTTCAAAGTTGTGATGACATAACTTTTTTTTTTACATAACTAGAGAGGCTCAAATAAAACCAACTGTGTGCAAAAACGAACGCCGAACAACCATGTGATGGCGCTTTGTCGCTCGACAGCGGACCAGACCATACTGCAGGCTTAAATGTGCCCCAAAAATCAAAACGAGCCATTATCAAATTACCATTTCAAAATGTAAAGCTCCTGACTTCATGTCATGAATTATTTCTCATACCAAATTTCTAGCGCACAGAACTAGTAACTATCCATGACAAGTTTGCATGAACACAACACAAGGCTACTCAGTGAGATAAAATAATACAACTGTATGAGGATATTTTTAAGTTGACTTAACAACAAAAAAAAATCTATTTCCATTTCAAAAAAGCTATCTGCATTTTGCCTCGACTGTCTGCATACAGTAACATTTGTAAGCAAGAAACACTTTTTTATCGACATACAGTATTTCCAACATGTTACTCCATTCAACATCTAGCCTTACCAAGATTTGGGTTCTCCAAAATGCAAGTAATTGATGCTGTAGAGGTCCATGTCTTCGGTGTGCCACGCAAAGGTAGTCTTCCACATACCAAAATACAAGTAGGGTGTATTCACACCCTCAATGGTGATGCCACTGTCACGTTCCACAGTATCCAAAATGGTGCCCAAGTGGCAAATGTTCCATTCTTTGATGTCCTGCCAAAGTAGAGCAAAACAAAACAAGATCAGACCAGACTAGGGATGCACAGATGCTGGAAGTGCCTATAGATTCTGATACCATCTGCAAATCCTGAAGTCAAACTTGAAAGTGTACCAATACCAGAGTCCTAATACRACTTTACAGCAGCCTAACATTCACCTCTCACTCGAGCAGTCAGGCAAAAGAGGAGCAATATCAAATTTATGGAGGCATTTCAAAGTAAACGATTATGACAAAATTACAGTAGAATACAAATTAAACTCAGCCAAGCTGTCAAGAGAAGAGACAAAATCTAAAACTTTTACGTAGTTTGATAAAGCATTTTTGGGATGGGCGATAAGAAAAATATATCCTGATACAAGCATTTCATATCAGGTAATATTTATAATTGATTCATTTCATTAATTGATTCATATTTTTCAAACTAAGCTAAGAAGTTAACCAGAAATGGCATGAAAAATAAACAACCATCGCCTACTGGGAAGACAGGAGTGCTGAGCCTTAGAGATGGCTGTAAATGAATGCTGCAGGTTTTGTGAGACACATTTAATTTAATTTGGAAGCCTCATCAACAAAGACTGAATCACTTCCTCCGCTGCCATTGCTAAAGAGTAATGCTGCGTTCACACCGAACGCGATTTCAGCTTCAAAATCGCAGCAAACGCTGAAGTTGGTTGCTTGTGCAC